ATTGAACCTTTCCGTTTCCCCCACCATTGTCCTCTCTCTCTTCCTTTTTTTTATAATTCCCCACGTTCATTACTTTTTTTTCTCCTTCTCTTCAAATTATCATTGTTTTGTGTGGCGCATATATATTTGGTGCCCCCCTGTACCAATATTTATGTGTTCAAATAAATAAATAAATAAATGATATCAAAGAGTTTTCGTGTGCAGCACGAAGCCATTTAAATGGTCTCCGAATCTGTCATATAAATGCCTGGAATTTGCTTAACAGGCGATCGGAGCTCGGTTTACGGACAGACTTTACTTCGTAGGATGTACACACAAACACAGAGATATGACTGATGCAGTCTGTAGACAGTAGGCAACATTATTTTGAAAGTTTTGCATTAATAGGAGCCGACAGAATCCGAAGCGTGAAGGAGGTGGAATAGCCCTATTTATTAGAAAAACTATCCCATTTAATGTTATTGATAAAACATCCCATCAAAGTGCGAAGTGTGAATTAGTAAGTTGAGGCTTGAAATGTAAAGGAGTCTATCGCAGTTCAAACTGTGAGATAAATGGGCACTCGCTAGACGGTTTCAATACTTGGCCATCAAGAAGACTGGAAAAATCTGAGGATAGAATTGTCGGACACTTCTTCTGCACTGGTGCAGTTATTAAATGCGCGCTAATGCAACATGTGAAAGAAGCAAATAAGTACAATCAGGATCATTCTTAATGGACCTTATATTTACCCATTATGAGGATAAAGCCGTAAACCTCTATCATGTACTACTCCTGGGTAAAAATCAGCATGCAGTTCTAGTCTTTGATTTCCATACTGTTGTCAATGACGGAGATGTGCCAACCCAGGACAGGACAAGCGTCTGGAGAGTACATATACTGGATGTCATACACTTAGCATCCCCAGTAAACTGGACAACAAGACCAGAATCATCCATTAGAACCACTTAAGGTGTATTCGAAAATATGCGAGTCTAGAAGATTGTACGAAAAAAACTTGTCAAGTAGTTAACAGAATACTCTAAACGCTTATGCTTGCTCAAAAACCAAAGGAATGAGAGGAGAGGAAATATTCCAGCATTATAGGGAAACAGTAGCACGGCTTCATTAGAGTCAGATGATTATGGTATTCTCAGATTACTTTAGAAATGTATATTCCGTAGAGGTGGCCTTCCCTTCAGTTTATACAGGCTCCACACACATTGGCGACTGTGACCATTAACGAACTTGATGTCTCTAGCATGCTAAATGAGTTTGATGGAAAAAGGCCCAAATGACCATATAAAATGCAACCAAGGTTACTAAAGAGGTCGGAAAATTTTGCCTCGAATTCCTTAAGCATATGTTTTGACCAATCTATAACTCAGGATCGATTGAAGAACACATCCTGCCCTCTAATCAGGTGAGAAGCATAAACCTGAGAACTACCGATCCGTTAGCCTGACATGCATGGTTATTTAAATTTGGAAATTATTATTCGGAAGGAGTATCTTGACGAAAATCGAGAACAGGTTATTCCTGTCTCACTGACTCATTGGTAGCCCGTGAAAGCTGGTGTGCTCTTGAAGACCAAATGTTACCTATATACATAGCATGCATTGAGAAGAGACTTCGTAGTTTGACGCCAACATGGAGTAACAGTGAATTGAAAGCCGTTTAGCTGGGGAACTTTACTTAGCGGAGTGCCCCAGGATACTGCTCGAGGGCCAATATAGTCCCTCGTGAATGTGAGTGAAACTTTCCGTCTCCTATCATCGTCGGTCTTGCTATATGTTGATGATGTCAAGACGTGAAAAGCGATAAAAGTAAAGATGGTAATTTAGGGCTTCAAAATAACCTGAGGAAACTATCTGACTGGTCTGAAATTCGGCAGTTGCTCAGAGATGCTTCCAAGTGCATTGTGATGTACATTAGTCATCAAGGTACAGGTAAATAAACGGTGAATAACAGCTGACTGTCTGTTGTCCAGAAAAACAATCACTTGGGAGTCATTGTACGCTAATATTTAAAAACTACTGCACACTACAAAGCGATAGCCGTCAAAGACCTTAGAACACTATGGTCAATACATAGGGCCTTTAGCCATGTCGATGGTTAAAATATTTTGACTTGGCATACAGTATTCTTGAGGCCTAACCTTGTATTCTGCATACAAGCAGCTAGCCCTTGCCTAAGAAGAGGCTTTGAGCAAATGGAAAAGGTTCAGAGAACAGTAACTAAGTTTATCCCCATGAACAATAAAGCACCAGTATGATGCCTTACTGACTAAACTAAAACTATTTCCATTATCATAGCGAAGATTCAGAGGCGATGTGACTACAGTATTTAAATTACTTATCATCTAATATGCCCTCACTTTCATTGTCTTCCGAAACAGCGAATTTACGAGAGCACTCCAAAAATCGTCCAAAAGTCCAAAACCAACATCGTAGCAGATGATTATGGACTTTTACATTGAATCACCAACGAATGGAATTCATCACCTTAACACGTGATTACAGCTACATCTGTTGACGCTTTCAAAATAACGCTTGATCATTTGAGGGACCAACATTGCCAGGAATAACACAAGCTACCTAGCCTCCTGTCCCTTCCAATTCGAAGCTGAAAAAAAACTATATCATACATCCTTACAGATTCAGATTTGTGTAGCGCAGACAGAACACCTACTGTCTATGTTATATCTTTTCTAGTATGCTTCTGTGTGTGTTTAGTCTTCTCTTGATGGAGCAGACACCATCGCTTCGGGTAACAGGTTCCAAGAATTGATGACACGGTGTGTAAACCTGTGTGCCACGGGTATTTCATTCGTTCTAAGCTTTTCTACTCATCTGCTATGTCCTCTGGGATGCCCTCTGCACTTTTTCCAGGATATCCGAGTCACCTTTTAAACAGGGCTTTCAGCCTGAACACAGTTCTTAAGCTTAGTTCTCACTAAGGTTGAGTATACCGTAGTGAATATGGTGATATTTAACTTGGTGAGTGGGTAACAGCTCAACTTAATTATTTAAGAATCGACCTCGAACAACTAAGTTTACGTCAAAACAACAGAGCTCAAGTATTCATTCAATTCCTTCTTTTGTATAGATAATATTTTTCCTACTACCTCATATTGAATGTTGGAAAGGTTTGTGTGTTTGAATATGTAATCCCACACTACACTGTGACTGCCAAGCGATCTAAATAGAAGTCTATTCGCTACTTGTCTAGTTCCTTCTGTCAATAGAACGGAGGTTGCCTACAGGCACGAAAAATGTCCGTCTTAAAGCTCATAGGCTTCCAAACCCCTTAGCTGCAACATCCCGGCAATGAGCTGTAGTCTAAAGATCATGACTCATCATGACCTCAAAATTGTTGTAAGACCAGACCGCGAGTACAGAAACTCCGCTATGCCGTACCAATTAACCCTTGTATCCTCAAAGTGCATGTAGATGCACCTAGCCTCGTTTATAGGCATTAGTCGCGTTTTAGACCAGCTAATCAGAATGTTTAGGTCTGCCGAAGTGCGCATGTATCTGTGTCTCCTGTTATTTCTCACCAGGTTTTCACATCGTCAGTATATAACAACATTGAGGACTCTACTATACCTGGGGGATCATTCACATACAGTATAAAAGTAAAGAACCTAAAACAGAATCTTGCGGTACTCCACTAAGTACTGGTTTACAGGTGGTGTACTTCCCGTCTACGACCTACTAGGAAATCCTTAATCCATTCTAGTAGAGCTCTGGCAATGACAAGATTTTCCGGCTTTAACATCACCTTATCAAATGTTTTGCTAAAGTCTGTGTAGACAACATCCACTGATTTTCCGTTGTCCATTGCTTTCTTGCTATTAGGAGGTTTATTGTGCAAGATATACCTTTTTTGAAACCATATTGTTCGTTGTTTAACAGGTTGTTGGTTTTCACAAATGTCATTATGGTCTTTTTAACTCTTCTTTCCAGTATTTCAACAACGACACTGGTGGGGCTGACAGGTTTGTAGTTCGGTGAAAGTTGTGATGATTCTGTTTTATGTATGGGAGTGGCGATTGCATCCTTCCAGTCCGTAGGTAACACACTTTGGTCAAGTGACATATCAAATATCACAACTAATGTGGCTGTAATATATTTCGCAATTTTTCACAGGATGTCGTGCTTAAATCCAGTTTTTGGTTCCTTTTCAGTAGGTTCTCTTAACACATGTAAAGTGATTGATCTGTTGGCGAAGTCCGTCTTAACACGCTGTATAATTTTAATTCCTGAAACACAATGTTGCTTCAAAGGCAGAGGTCCCAGTCCGTTCACTAAATTTTCTGTTTCTGGTTGTGATTGTGAGCTAATCACCTTCCTTATTATATCTCTTGATCATATTATCCACACCGCCCAGGCTTTGCTCCCTCAAAATCTATTCTGCGTTGATATGTGAATCCGGAATTGAAACCGTAGTATCATATACCTCAGTGCTGACTATAATTTAATTCTTCGCAGCATGCTTTTTCTTTTTTCATGTGACAATGCCTACATTTGTATGCATGTTAACCGTTCCTCTAATGGGGTTCACCTTGATGGTCTTATTCAAATCCAAAGCTGGGTTCATGTTGACGCTGGCTATTTCCTCGAAAACTGAATCCTATTAATCTACTGCTGTTTGTTTGTCTTAGGGCGATTTCCTAGCTATGTTCAGTATTTCAAGAATCAGCAGAGACTTTGTAGAACAGGATTCTTTGCATAGTCAACGTGACAGTGGCTTGCAGAACCGGTATGAATGCAGAGCACACGTTGTGATACAACTCATTGCAGTTGTCACACTGAATTCCATCAGCCACCGGGAAAAAAGCATGCAGGTCTGCCACTGTGGCATCGCTTTTGTCACTTGAAGGATGGAGGCTACCAGACAGTGCGCCTGAATCCAAGTCAAATTCAGAGTTGTCTTGAATTGACCGTTTCTACAAAACCTTACGCTTTGTCGAGGTGACGTACGAATCGTTGTACAACAGATTGACCTTCAAAAGCTTCGTAACCTTCGCCAATAGACGTGCCACATCGTTGGCTTTAGCTTACTGTATGCACGTGTGTCTTGTATCCATGTAGTCGCTTTTCTCGTTAATGCGGATTTAACATTATGGCTTATCTTGTCAAAGGAAAATTTATTCATCTACGTACATTGATATCTATTATTTGGCATATTTACCTGATACTGTTGGTCTCCATTCCTTATTGTGGTGGGTAATATTGTTCACTGCATATCTGAGACTCCATATATTACTACTTATTAATGATATCAGTGTTTTACCTACTTGTTACACATACTCTGTCTCCCCGAGCTCCCAATTTTGTGGAAAATTTGATCCATTTGGGGGAATCGCTATAGTTCGCTTTGGGGAAATGGCACAAAAACCTCAAAATTTCCCCAGACCTGGGGAAATTCCCCAATTTTTCCCCAAAATCCCGCTTTAACCTTGGTCAAGGTCATTTGCCTTAGGGATTTCCCTAAACATTGGTGAAGGTCATATGACTTCGAAAGTTTCCCCAAAATTCCCCCAAAGTTGGTAGCTCGGGCCGGTAATGTATCTAGTACTTTTGTCCAGAACAAGTACTTAAGTTGCCAGATTTGAGAACACTAGGAATGTAATGTTACTGCAGTAACATTACAAACGATCTCATGAGGGATGGAATTGTATATTACTGAAACATTTCTTTTGATAGCTTTAGAGATAAGTAATGGATTCGAAAGGCTGTTGTTGTGCACCATGTAGTTGATTATGTTATTTCTAGCTGCTTGTATTGAATATTATGTTGTAGGTGTATGGTATTGTCAGTTTTGTCAATACTTTCCAGTTTTGTGTTTGCAAACTGCAGAAAATGTAAGATACTATCCTCATGAAATTCGAAGGTTTTCGTGTGTGTAAGAATCCGTAGTTATGTAATTGCATACCCTTAAACTATCAACTTGATTTTCAGTGGTATATTTCACGTATAATCCTCAATTTTCTTCTGTGATTTGCCATATGGTTCATAAGTGTTGTCGTTACACTGGTGCTTTTACACATGAGAAAAGACAATATATTCAGGAGAGCTAATGAAATGCTGTCATACGTTTGTCAAACGATTACAAGAATCTGTGTTTTTTAGATCTCCAGTAAAGAAATTTGACTTGTGGTCATAGTCGCATCCCTGAAAGCAGTTATTCACAAGTTAGAATATGTAATTCATCTTAGGTTATTTGGGACAATTGTAATTCATAAATGTATTTAGGTATAATGCTGTTGCTTATATGGCTATTGTAGTCTTGCCAACCCCGATAGAAACACTATTTTGAGGCATTACTTGTTACTACCAAGGGTATGTCAGGTGGTAATGACAAGCGACAATTTATCTGACATAATAAAAAGCAAAATCAGTGTCACAGTACTGAAAATTCCCACCAGATATAGCTACGGGGGTGGTGATAGAGACCCTGAATGACATGGCTCAAAATCGTTTGCAATGACACAGGTGCATCCACTCTTTGTGTTCTTCCAATTCTAATCTTCTGAATTCTTCATCTCCCTTTCTTTCTTCTCTTTCCAAATTTGTTGTCACTGGATTACACTCCTCCAATAGTATCTTCAAACCCTAATGTTTCCGATTACTGCTTATATTCTTACTACCTCTACCTCTACGGAATTTGAGCCGACAACTGCATCTGTGCGCCAATGTGGTATGGCAACTCGAACTAATGTACGTGCGTACGAAGTTCTGCGTTGTTACTGACTGACTGCGCATTGATAAGTAGGTAGTCCTGTCTACACTATCCTTCTGTTTCCGGTTTGTTTTTTGTGAGACGTTATTCTGTACGCGTGAGAGCATTTCGAGAGGGAAAGCGGATTCTTTCCACTCTCGGCCGTACCAGGGCATTTGAGGGCGAAAAGTATCGATGAGCATTGGTTACAATTGCATGACGCCGTGAAAATGGCGAGTAAAGTCGCTTACGGCTTCGCGAAACGTCCCTCCTATAAGCACTGGGTTTCTTCAGGCTCCTTACAACTCCCCAAAGCCCGTCGGTCTGCTCCGGGCGACTGCGAGTTTGACCACAAACGAAGATTTCCGAAATGAAATTGTGAAAAGCTTACGTAAGGACGGAGAAGCCTGGTGGTCGGAGAGTGCTAATGAGTTGGAAGCAGCAGCTGCATTTGGTAACTGCTGGAAGCTCTTTTAACTCATCCGAGTTACTGGCAACACGAAGTCTGGTGTCTGTAAAACAATCTGTGAAGATGACAGGATGCTAATCACTAACATCTATTGACGTCCTGGACAATAAGCAGAATTTTTCGAGGAGCAGCTCAACTGGTCTGCTGTGCAGACAACATCTATCATACTGTCCTATCCCTACGGCCTGTGACGATTGGTCCATCTAACAAGGCGGAATTCCGCAAGGAACTTCAACTCTTGAAACGCCCAGATGACCTACCTCCGGCTGATTTTAAAGATGGTGGTGACTTTCTGGTTAAGGTACTAATTACGTTGTTTACAAAGATTTGGGAGCTAGAGAGTGTTCCAACGTCATGGAATGAGTCGATAGTTGTCCCTATCTTTAAAAAGTGTTCACGTCATTCCTGTAACAACCGTCGAGGTATAAGTTCACTTCCGATTGCGTCCAAGCTATTGGCTTTCGTCATACTTTGTAGGTTGTTCAAAACCCGAGAAATATTGACTCGCGAGGATCAGGTTGGTTTTCGTTCTGATCGACGATGTATTGATCATATCTTCACCCTCCGTCAAATGGTAGTACACCGTCATACTTATCACTGGCTAACAGTCGTAGTGTTTCTTGACATCAGGATTGCTTTCAATTCGTTCGATAGGACTATTCTCTGGGATTGTCTGTTGAAGAAGGGTGTGCCTGAGAAGTTTATTAACATCCCAAAAGCCCTATATACAAACGCCTCGGGTAGAGTGAGTGCATACAACCACCTCTCTCCGCTGTTCCACTCAAGCAGTGGGGTTAGACAGGGCTGCTCAATCTCACCATTCCTCTTCAACTTTGCCATTGATGACATTCTTGAAACAGTTCTGATAGATGTAAGTAATGGCGGTGTGGATCTGGACCTGGAGAAAGACTTTTCGACCTTGAATATGCGGATGATATTGTCTAACTGTGCGATAATGCCCAGGTCAGGCAATCCGCACTTAATCAGTTGGCAATTAGTGTCCGTAAGTATGGTATGTGCTTTGCAAAGTACCTTTACGAGACTGGCAAGACACTGATCCTGTACTCACTCTGGGTAGTGAGCAGATAGAAGTAGTTGGAAAGTTCGTGTATCTGGGTAGCTGCATAATTGCTAGTGGTGGCGTAAGTGATTAGATCGATTCATATATATATTGAATGCCAGAGCGGCTTATGTCGATGTAGATCATCTTTAGCGCCTTCGTGATGTTAGTTTGGATGTAAATGATCGGATCTACAATGCGTCGATGAGAGCAGTTTTGCTCTATGCTTGTGAAACCTGGCCCCTCCGAGTTGAAAATGTTAGACACATCTCTGTGTTTGATCATCGTAGTCTCCGGAGGATTGCTGACACCCAGTGGCAGGAGTTCGGCATCGTGTGTTCGGGCGCAGAGACGATAATTCAATTGGTGTCACCATCTTGAAACATCGACTTCGATGGCTTGGACATGTTCTACGAATGTCATCTCAGAGAATTCCTCGTCGTGCATTATTTGCCTACGTTGGGACTGGTCGTCAGTGTATGACATGGTGTCGTGGTATGAAAGAAAGTTGTACGAGACTGGTTTCTGTTGGTCCTTCACAACTCTGGTTGGGATCCTATCGATGGTGCAACACAGTGGCTAGAGACGTTATCAGATATGGGTCAGAATAGAGGCCAGTGGCGACACTGCTGTCACTTTCTTTTACTTTTTTCATAAAGAAATGAACTTGGCTTCTTCAACTGAATGAATTCTTTCTGGTTGTACCTTTGCTAACTGAACTGCCTCTCCCATTATTATTATTTTACTCTCATACACTAATTTTTGTTCGTTATTGTTCTCCTTTTTCTTATACGCACTTTGCATTCTCTGTCTTTTTACATTCACATTGTTATTGTGTGGCGCATATGTATTTGGTGCCCCTTCGTACCAATATTTATGTGTTCAAATAAATAAATAAATACTAATTCAGGGTTTAATGTGATCATGTATTATAAAATGGAGTTTGATACAAGAGGACATGATTATTATTATTATTATTATTCTTGCCTTAATTGATTTTTATTAAGATACCGAAAGATAATATAGAGAGTGCTATACAATCATATTTGAATTATTTATAGGCGTAATAAAATCAGTAAATAATATGGGAGCTTCTGTGTATTATTTATGAACTTTTAGTTGATTATATTGTTTTACATATTTTTCTATTCCTAGTATATTAGTTATTTGCTTATATGTTTTTATGCTGTCTCCTAAAACTATTTCAGAGAGCGGAGCTACGATTCAAAATCACTAAAAAATATTCATAAACATGTTGATTATGTTTTTCATTATAATAAATGTTGTATGAAATTAAAGCTAGTCTTCGATCAAACGATAAATTTAAATACACTAACCCTTTTCAGAACTTGATAAATGTGCTTACGAAAAACATTTGGTTGCACCTACATAAACACCAAGAAATAACGTGTGAAAGACAAGGAAATCTGATTTTTTTTATTTATCACCTACATTTGTTAAATATTTCATCATTCTACGTTATTTTATTTCTCCTCTCAGAATCTTCCTTTAATGTGGCAGTGAGTGCAAGCGATCCCGTTGGTTCAACATTTAATCAGGGTTTTACTTATGGTGCGACCAATACTGCTCCTGATGCTTCTACTAATTTTACTATTACTGCCACTGCCACCACAAATTTTACCACTACCACTGATGGGTTTAATCAGTCGAGTAAGTTAATGGTTGTCTACAATTTCCAATCCAGACATATGTTATTTTATGTTGTGCACTGTATAATTGAAATGTGGAGCGAATATTTGACAGGACACTCAATGATAAGTTGATTGAGCCGTTTGGAAACTGACATTCAAAGGAAGTTGAGGTGTTTTCATTCAGATATCATAGTGACATTAATAAGAATAGTAGTTTACTTGTTATTATTAGTTGACAAATGACTAAAGTGACAAAACAGATCGATTCAATGGTAAAATGTATATTTCTGTGATATCAATTTTTAGTATCGGCCATCTTTTATTGACTTACACTTCCACGTATTATTGTGGCTTTCGTAAGAGTCCTTTGATAGAATGTTTTAGGCCTTACATTTTATCAATGTCTGTTGGTTTGAGCTGAGTGTGTACATTATTCCCGTTTATGTTCTTCAGTTCACTCGTATTCTTGGTTCTCAGATGTCATTTAATACTGTCGAATAATGATTTCAGTGGATCAGCTGAATGCACTTTTTTCTGCCTTTAAATCTTGATTTTAATGTTATTTCATACCTTTATTTCGATATCACTTACTAATTTTAAGTTATATTTCTCATATTTTGCTTTTTATTATATATCATTTTATTCTCTGACGCACATACGTCCTAGACCCTATTTCGTTTACTACTGATTAGCTAAACCTGATATTGTTGTCCTCACTGGCTTAAATGTGAGACCAGAGGGTTATCTGAAATTCGTTTAGTATGACGTAGAAGATCCTAGATTTTGGTTACTTTGTTAGTGTTATCTTCCCGAATATTTTGAATGAAGTAACATGGAATTCAATACAAAAAATTTGACTACACTGAATCGTGATTTTAAAGAAATGTTTTACTCTAATTAAATTTTGTTTAAAGTGATAGTGACTTTCATTTCCAGAAATTTAGATTTCTTAAAAACTTAATTTTCCGAATCTTATATCTTTATAGAATTCTGTCAACATTCAAAATTGTTACCTCCGGAAAATGTCACAATCACCAATGTCACATCTGATTCCTTCGATATTAATTGGAATTTACCACGTCTTTATAATCGGCTGAATAAAGTTGTTTACGAAATATTGATAAATAGTCCACAAAGATTACCAATAATTATTAGAAATGTTTCAAGTTGTTTTCAATTGAAAGAAAGGATTATAAATTTAACTTCATGTTGCTTTTATATTATACAAATCAAAACACATGATATGTTATTGATGAAATCAAGTGATTGGTCAAATCCAGTATTTACAGCTACCTTATTACCACGTATGTCATTAAATCAACAGTTATTTAAAATTTTCATATTGCACAAAAATGAGACTTACGTCCTTGAGATACGACTGAGTTGATTATCAGATTACAATTATTTGGTGTCTAATTTCATGATAAGCTTAAACTGGCTAGTGAACCATTAAAGTCAGGAAGCACTGAACGGTTTATTTGCCTTGGTTTAAAACACTTTAGAAGTGAACACTTACTATTTCAGACTTTGGACTTACAATTCAGGCGGTCAGTACCATATTTTAAGATCACTGGGTTGAAATCCAACGGTTCACGTTTCTAACTTATGCTAATCCTCGATATGGCCATTGACTATACATTCCTATCTTATAACTTACTACAGTAGTTTTAACTACTGTACACTAATTGTAACATATATTAACACTGATCACAGTGTCAAATACAGTTCAGCTGAAAGACCACAAGTTACTAAAGAGGTTTATCTCGTCTTTGTGTATTGCTCTACAATGATACATCTGCTTGTCTGAAATTATTCTGGTAAATGACCCGCATAGTTAAATGCCGAATGGTTATGAATATGTTAATTTAGTGCATAAAAAACATGAAATGTCCTACTAATCATTATATGAAATGTCTGCTGAATTTCTAAGCTTAAATTAATTATATATATTAGTATATGGTTTTGAGGAGATTATAAAATTTTCAGTTTTTAAATCACGAACTAACCTGAACTGTTAGTTGAATCAAGTTAGACATTAAAACCGCTGGATTACGGCTCAGTGATCAACGTTTACTCGTAAAAGTGTATGCTCTGGGTTCGATTCCTTTTTGTGGCATCGTGGATGCTCATTGCTGAGGATTTTATACTACAACAAAACAGATGTCCAGTGTATCCTGGATTTCAATTATGATCTAGCCCAGATCAGTTCATGGTTCGAAAACCATGGATAAATATAATATTCTTTATCTATTTATTCGGAATAATGATACAGATTAAAGTCGAAAATCATTAGGATGTAACTAACATTTAACACTCAACGTATAAAATCATTCTTCTTACAAAGATACTAAATTTGTCCAGTGCTTGGATCCATCGACATGTTTTCCGATGATGATTATCACCACAGATTATAATATCAGTACAGGGGATCATGGAAAGTTCATGCGCAACGGATAGTTGTTTCATATTCACGTTTAAGAGTGAGTTAGTACTCACCTTTTCATTTAAAGTAGTATGTACAACCCTCATTACTAGGTTTTAATACAAAGTGTCTTTTATTCACTAAATAGGGATTTTATGGTTCATAGTTCCAAATTTAATCCAACTTCATATAATAGAGCAGCGATTATTTAACATCACTAATGAATAATCAAATTCATCTAGCCTTACACTAAGTATACAAAGATAAAAATCACTTAATATAGTCACTTAAGAAACAACTTAAATTCACATTACAATTACAAAATTTAGAGGAAACTACGATAAACGAATCAAGTTAACTGCACTAAAGGTTATCTGTAGGAAAGAAAAAGGGCTAAACAGGTTATGAAATTGTGAGAATTAGTTACTCGTACTGAACTGTGACTGAAAAAAATCCATTCTCTAATTATTTTTACTCGTATTTATGACTGTCCTTAATGTTGGTGTTTAGAGTATCTTGTTTATATAATGATAGTATTTTCGATGTATAAGTCTAATATCTAAACTACCGGTGACCGCTTTTCGAAGCAGATTACTTAAAATGAATAACAAGCTAACTGGTTACGATAATTGTCGATTTCAGACAAACGATATAGAAAATACATCAAATTTACATTTCCCGCCAAATACATGAATACTATCTCGTGTATTGTAGTATCATGCTAACTTCACTTTCCAAACAGTCAACGGGAAGTGCCATAAACTGAAATTCAACGGAGATATTTCACAGAGTTTATCTTCTAAATCCCAGTAAACTCAGTAGTATCTTAATTTGTAAACGACATGCATCATGATTTATGAAGTATAGAATATCTTAAACTTGGGGTTGACTGTGTTCACAAATTCAACAGCGTAAGTGCTTTTTTACTAATGAGTATCAATCGACAGGATAATCATACAGAAGAATTCCTGTTGATAAGCTTACTACTAGTATATATTCATATGTCAACCACAGTCCAGTATCATAAGATTAATAAATTTATGTTAATAAGAAAGGAAATTTATAGAGACTTTTTCATTCAAAGCCAGATTTCAACTTCAGTTCGTTTGTGATATATTGTAATTCTCATCTTTGAAATATAACTCAAAAACTCTCAGTATGGTTGACACAATGGGTAATGGCTTCTCGCTAGAACTTCGTACCAAGGACCTTAAATCATTTGTTTGGTGACCCCTTTCCATTTGGTATGTCTTTTCGTGGTAAAATCTAAATTTGACTAAGTAGTATTAACCATACAAAGACTGGCTTATTTATATAATTAATTTTCTTAAATGTTTATCTTAAGTATTCCAAGTGATTATATAATGTCTAGATAAACACGATCAATCTATCATGCATTCTCAACTAACGTAGCATAGCGTAAATACTAAATATTAAACCGAAATATTATTGTACCTTAATGCGGTTCTATGCTTCTCTCATAATTATTTTATTATATTTCAACTAATGTTGTTCCAATCCAAATAATTTCTATTTGTTTACTTACGCTTATTTAATCAACTTAGAACATGTCGTTCAAAATCATTTTGAAGTAGAAAATATGTCTCCAACTATTCAAAAAGTGAAGTGGAGTAAATTTACTGTGCCTAATGAATGTATGGCACTTATTCAATTATTACAAATTAATGGGAAAACCTTCATTGAGTTAATTACCAGTGTGGCAATAAATGAAACAGGTAGTGATTTCCATAGTTTCTATAAACATTGATAAGTTTTAATATGCTATTAGGATAGATTTATGGAGATTGTTTAAGACAGTTTATCTTAAGAATTTAATTAAACAACCCTTATTATTATTAATTCACTTGATATTGTTTTTGTTTTTTATTTGTTTGAATCTTCCCATTGATGTTTAGGACTGAAATTGTTCAGTCTCTTATTGGCATATGTGCATACTGTGCGTATGCCTCGATATTGCCTTAATTTACAAGCATTATAAGCAAAGGTGGATAGTGGCTAGCAGTGGAATCCAGTAAGCGCGTTTCGTCCTATTTGGGACTCGTCAGCTGGATGTACCTGCATCTCAGAGTTGATGTTCACTGTGGGACTCGAACCGAGTATCGTCCGCTTCAAACGCCATCGCGTTATCCACTTAGCTACTGAGTCCTGATAGCTACTTGCTTGTGCAATGGGGTGAAGTTTAATTCACTTGATATTGTTTTTGTTTTTTATTTGTTTGAATCTTCCCATTATAACAGACTGAACAATTTCAGTGCTAAACATCAATGGGAAGATTCAAAAAAATAAGAAACAAAAACAATATCAAGTGAATTAAACTTCACCCCATTGCACAAGCAAGTGGCTATCAGGACTCAGTAGCTAAGTGGATAACGCGATGGCGTTTGAAGCGGACGGTACTGGGTTCGAGTCCCGGAGTGAACATGAACTCTGAGATGCAGGTACATCCAGCTGACGAGTCCCAAATAGGACGAAACGCGCGTCAAACTGGATTTCACTGCTAGCCACTATCCACCTTTGCTTATAATGCTTATTATTATTGCTGTTTTTGTCAGTTGTTGATGTGGATATATACTCACATTCTAATCGGACCAATCAAATATGCTTGGTCCGAGTCATGTTGATGTCCTGTAGAATAGAGACTGGGAGGGTATCTAGTGCAGATATTCGTTTAAGACAAATTATTGTCCCATTGGTGTAAGGAAGAAAGAAGTGCGTTATTTCAATAAGCTACATTTCTAATTCCAGCAGAATTCAGTTCTCAATATATAAACTATGCTTAAATTCTAACAGTTGAATTCATGAATCAATTTAAGCCAGACCACCATTAAAAACGTAGAGGCACTGGACGGCAGTTTCGTCCTAGTATGGGACTCCTTAGCGGTGCGCATCCACGATCCTGCACGTGGGATTCAAACCCAGAACCTTCGGTCTCGTGCGCGAATTCCTAACCTCTAGACCACTGAGCCGGAAGTCAACGCTCCATCCAGCGCTTCAAGGCTTTCAGTAGTGGTCTAGTTTAGGTTGATTCGTGAATACAACTGTTAAAATACTATGATCTCCACGAATCTCCATACTGATATGTTTAAAATGTAATTTGTCAGTTAGGTCGTGATTTAAGTTTCTATTAGTAGTTAATTTGGTTAGAAATTAAGTTTAAGTAAATACTAAAAGCACGTCTTGCTTATTACCAGTAATACATGATCTCTTGTAGCTAAAAATATTCTAATAAATGTGAAAGACGTCTATAAGTGAATAATTTTTTGAGTGACCCGTCACTAACTATTGGGCGAAGATAGACATCTAGCTGTACTAAATTATGAAATGTTTTATAATATTAGTTTCACTGTAATTTTATTTGGATTCCATAGTGTGTGACTCCTCTGTAATTTGTGTGAACAAAATGTGGTTCTCAATCGTTTGGTTTGATATTGTGTAACTGTGTATCACATTATCTAGTTTGGTGGTCTAATTATTTAGCGTGCTCAGTGTATTATCTAGAATATTGTCGTTCCATCTGGGATTCCTTATCAGGGGACAAATTTTCGTTATTTTTACGGTTAAATCAAGTAGTTAATTAATGGAGTCGATTCAAACGCTGATATTATTAGAGTTAAACATTAAATTACTTGTAAAAATCTCTACGTTGAATTACTTCGTTTCTAGTATCCATCAAAATCTAATATTATACATCTACTATCAAACCTGTTTTAGAGCAATATTCTAATGCTTTATTGAAAAAATATGCATTCTCTGTATACAATAATCTAACGAGTTTTACATTTTCTCGCTATTTATTAGTTTCTGTTGGTATAAAGGTTTTTCGATTGAACATTTCAATGTTTCTTTTATCTACAATTTGTTTATATTAGGGCTAATAGCTGTTATCATGAACCTTGTTTAATTCAACAGTGTAAGAATTTAACACTATGAAATGTAATTATTTATTTACGATTGTAATGTATTTACAGAATATACATTCTATAATTTGGCACCATCAACTCAATATACGTATACTCTAAAAGTGATTTCACCATTTGGTAATTATTTAGGGCAGTATATTTCAATAACTACAAAAAATTTACCTTTAAGTAAGTGTATTACATTTAATATACTCATTTGTAACGCTATATAGAAAGGAAAAAAATATTCTGTAAATAATATTTCACTATGAGACTAAATTTTTGATTGGGTACTTATTTATTTTTGTTTTAGTTTATTACCTACCTCCCACTTTGTCAGGAAGTTGAGAACATGACTTAAATCCCATATTTCCCTAATGCCATCAACTAACCGTATTTATTCACATTCTTTAAAGTGATTTTAAATGATGCTGTTGAACATTAACCAGGAAAGTTACTGCTAACACAGTTCTATTTATGACTATAGAAAACCAATGTGCAGATACTAATTTGTCTTATTTAATCGAAATGAATACTCAAAAGTTGGACGATTCATGGAATACCATGTTACGACTAATTTGAATTTCTATACACGATATGGAATGTGAAGTTTCTGAATTACTAGTCGTCATTAATTTCCTGTCGGCACTGGGTTTTATGAATGAGCTCATTTTCAAAAAGTATTTACTCGCTGACTAAGTTCTAGGTATCAATAACTATTTACTGAAGGGTTATCTCTGAATTCAAAGTTCTTGTTCAGGGGCATCCTCCATGGTTTTCTTGTTACTTGTGTTTCAATTGATAAACATAGACAGGTAGTCTCTGTTGTTAACGAATTTCAAGCTACTAATTAATAGTTTTGTCTAGAATGATTTGTCTAGTTTTCTAAGAAGAAAGGAGACAATGGATAAGATGCTTTTTCTGTTAAGCTATACTTAAATTCTGTATTATATCAGCTATTTTATTGGAGAACTGTATTTGTGTGAGGATGGCTTATAGGTGAACTTGACGAAGCTCTAAGAAGCTCAGAGAGAACCAAAGACATCCCGTTCAATAATCTTTTGAACGAACATTCCAGAATCTTGGACAAATGCTAAAAACCACTGCACGCGAATTAGATGACTATAATGATAATTTCGTTTTCATTAAGGACTCTAAGTACCTGAGAGTTTTGTACCATATTTAACACTGTTTGGAATAACATTTTTTCTCACTCGTCTTCTACCTTCTCACTTGCGACTTGGAGGGTTCTAGCGTTCGAGTGTTCAATTTGTATGCGGTATATCAAGAATCTAAGCTCTAGATATAACAGTTTGAAAAACTAATTTTAAATAAAGTTGTGATACCTTAGTTCCTAAATTAAACATATTTTCCATGAAAAATTATTTATACAGAGGAAATCTGCACAAGATGTACACGTACCAACTAAGACTGATCAAAATTCAGTCCAGAACATTAACAATGCGATATTAATACAAAGCTTTACAAATTATGTTTATTAAATAGGTTGTGATGAAGCATTAGACTTAATAGATCCGTTTTCAATAACAGTAAAATCTATTCACTAATCATCTTGAAAGTATGTCTAATTCAATTCTTTACTTTACCGTTTAAATTTACAACAGATAAACAACTCTATTCACCTCCGTTTCATTCTTTTCCCTGAAATAAGCTATAAAATTGCAGTAGGTCATTCAAAACGATCCAAGTTTGACGTCGACGTACTGGTTTAATTTTCCAACAATGTTAGTATTAGTATAGTTAATTTTTCTCGATATTGCTTTTCAGCAGTGTATTCGACCAGCCTTCGTCATAAAATAGATTGTTTGAGCAGATTCCTCAATATTGCTTAAGGTTACAAGTTTTCAACAATCTGTTTACAAAAAGTATGTATAATTTATCTGTTGACGTGACAGTCTTAGTATAGAATCGCGCATTTATCTTTCTGATAAAATGTTTGCGTTATTTAATCTTCATTACATTTTCTTTCATTAACTTCCCTATTCTACATTCTTTTCTGTTTTGCATAATAATCTCTTGAATCGTGTAATGAAGTACATTTTTTATTTTTCACATTAATTTCAACTATTGATCAAAGATCTGCAATTTGGATGAAATGTAGATGTACAACATATGAAACTGAATTTATTCACAAGGAATTTCATTAAATCTCTCCTTAGTTTTTTGATAATAAGTTGCTAAAGTATTCTGGATTACTTTCGGATCCATTTAATTTTTATCCTTTCAAATTATTTCACTATTTTACTAAGCTGTACACTTAAAATTTAATTAAAAGTACCATTTTCCAAATCATTTTAGCATTAACCTGATTGTATTTATCAGAAACATTACGTAGCAAAGTGGGTTATTTCAGTGCTAGCTCTGTCCGAAACTGAAGTACCTGTCTATCATATGATATGATTTGTATCTTATTAGTATAAGGTGATTCAAACGAAAATTAATTTAAATAATGTTCATCAATACAATTAGTAATTTTGGTGATGATATCATATAATTTTAATGATGTTACTGAAGTTAAATACGTTCATAACCAAAGCTACTTATCAATATATGGCTGTAGAGATTGTTAGTTTTTAATTGAGATCATGAATCGATCCAGGTTTTCAATGGTGCTCTAACATTGATCGGTTCATGATCTCAATTAAAACTCAACAATCTCCACAACTCCATACTAATAATTATCATATGCTCACTAGCGATTAGCTTGAAGATGGATTTCCTAGAGTTCTAGTGCAAAGCCGTGACTACTGGATTCCAACCCATGTCGGGTGGAGACAGTTATCCACCTTAGACAATGGATGAAAGGTTGCGCAAGATTATGGATCAATTGAACTTGGACATAAACACCACTGGATGGCAGCTCAGTGATTTATAGGTTAGGCGTTCGTGCGTGGAACTGTAGGACCTGGGTTGGAATCCTGAGTGCGGGGTCGTGGATGCGTACTGCTGAGGAGTCCCGTACTAAGACAAAACGGCCGTTCAGTGCTTTCAGGTTTTTAACGGTGGTCTAACATTGGTCGGTTTATCATCTCAATCAAAGGTAATTAATTGGTGTTTATTGATATCAACTAGAGGATTATTAAAAGTTAGGGAGTAACATAATGTATTTCTTACCCTGGTCTGGAATTCTTCAAAAATTGAGAAGTATCAATATTTTAGATTTGTTAGATCTCGGAACGGGAATCTAATGGCTTATATGTTTCAACTTTAACTTGTAATATAGCTTGATCTCCATTCGGCGTCATCGATGCATCACTTCTTCATAAAGAAATCACGGAGTTCACCAGTCATAATTTCATATTATGTCTCAGTCGACATTCGTACCCGACTTAGTTAGTTGATCGTATATATTTCTCAAGCTAACTGGAAGTTTAATACAGATGTACATGTAGATAAAATTTCCCCACTAACCACACCAACTTAAAATTTAAGATAACTCAAGATCTGTTTTTTTGGATAAATTCATATTATTTAAGGGTAGATTGCAACTAAATCGCTTATGTTGATTCTAATTTAAAATATGGATAATCTGTCGCTTCTACTTGAGAACCAGACCATTTTTTAGTATACACGTGTTAATATGAATAAGCTTGGATTTTGGTCTAATGGTTGATAAATCCACTTTATGCCACTTACACACATTATATTAAGAATTGTTTGTTGAATGGTTTACACTTTTCCATTACTGATATCACTATTTGAATTCATTAGTATCTCTATGCTGGCGAGTGTTAAATTAATTAAGATACGCTTTATGAATTCCACTTCTAGCTACTATGAAACATAACACTTTAATAGTTTTACATCTAGTAAAACTATAAATTTGAAACATTCGTCTCAACTGTATTGAGTTGTAGATTACCCTAGTTATATTGTTAAGAGATAATAAAAGTTATTACTGTTAAAGTAAACTGGATTCTCGTGGTAATATATAAAAGTTGCAAGTTAAAAGAGCACAACAGTGTTGACTTGAACTAATTGATAATAATTTGGTCTGATTCTGAAAATAAACAGTAATGTATTTATAGTGAATGTGAAATATCCCAATGAGTAGAAAATTGTATTTGTGATTCTTTGCAACTTAGAATTGTTATAAATTAACACTGAAAAATTCAAATCGGCTATTTAGTACACACCAACAGGTGTATCGTGTTAATCTTATAACATTTAGCTTAATGATGATTATGTGAGATATAACGTTGTACGTATTCCTATACATGTGAAAGATTGTGAAAAGTATGATACTTATAATGTGAATGAGTTATTTAATTTCTGCGTGCACTTATGGGTTTGGTTGTAGTCAGCATATACTTTAAATAAATATCAGTTAACGTGATCCGTTTCGATTATAGGAAATCAAACATATGCGGACTCTATATTTCTATCCTGTGATTATTTATAATTGGTTTTCTTCGTCTGTCTTACACATTCTTTATTTTTTAATCAAATTTTGTTTTTTAGCTCACCGTTTAAACAAAAGTATTCATACACCAAAACTTATTCAGATCTCTAATATTACATCCACTTCGTTCGTGATCATTTGGTCAATTTTGAAAACGAATAGAAGTCAATTCAAAATTTCTACTTATGAAATCTTGCTTAATAGTCAAAGACAATCATTATTATTAATAAAAAATATTTCGAGCGAATTATTTAGAGAAAAAATTGAGAATTTAACTGCTTGCACAATTTATACAATTCAACTGAGATTAGTTGTAAAATTATTTGAAACAATATATAGTGAATGGTCAAAACCACTAACTGCGTTTACGTCAATCCCGAGTAGGTTCATATTGTAATTATTATCAATATTTGCTTAGCATTAGCTGCGTTAACAAAACAAATAAAATTGTCTTACTTACCTGTTCCTGACTTTTAAATACGCTTCATTCGATGTAGTACTGTTTATAGTCGATTTGACATGTTGAAGTTAGTCTTACGATTTTCCATATTATTATTTTTTGTATGTATGACTCTAAAGGGTTGAAACGAAGACGAAAGGCGTATTTCAATTGAGAACAACGTTTTATAACCGGAAGAAGGAGGTTCATTCTGTATAAACATTAAAACGAACCTTAGGAACATTCATAATTATATTTGATATAACAATACATGTGGTAATTTGTAACCAGCTAGATGAAAACACAACATTAACTCACAATGATTCAGTGGCTATTCTAATGTAGTGAAATGACTGAGGGTAGAAATGAATTTGTAGTGAAAACATGATATAAACAATAAGTACGATTGCTTTCCCTAGAATATTTTACTTCACTAAGCCTCATAAATATCAGACGACTACACATAACCTGTGACTGGGAATAATTACTATTTAGCTAATAGTTCAAATCCTTATATACATTTTTAACCGAATTAAAATCACAACAGGAAGATAACTGAATAACTCGTACTGGTTGCCTCAATGTTAGAATAAGTTGTTCAATAAGATTAATCCAACCAAGTAGCAGTACGGATCAAAATCTGTAGCAGAACCACTTCAACCTCATCGGCCAGCAACCTGAAATATTGATTTCTAACTTCGTAGTCATTCTATATCACGTAGGTGCTTAATCGTCTTAGGTACCATAAAGAAAGAGTAGATTCATACCTATATCTAAGTACACTTGCTTTTGTGTACAAATTTATTTTTCATGGAATAATAGTTGAATTTCAAATAAACGGTAATTTAAATGAGCCCACCACTGATTCGCCAATAATGCATTGTATACAACCAGTTGTATGATTAGTAATGTCATAATCAATAAAAATAACTGATTTACTGAACCACACACTCGACCCTTCTCTAATGAAACAAACAATCTCTAATTGTATTTGTAAACTAGTCAAATCAAATAGACTAGAATAATTTATTCTAATTGCATAATACAGACAAAAGAAGATGAACAGCATTAGTGTGCACTTCTTCAAAGTCATATTGAATATACGTGTAAGTTGGTGCATAAATTATTTCTAGATTAAAAAACATTGATCCTTTATCTCCATGGTTGCCTGATTTTAGTAGGCAACTGTTTTTAAATGATGCAAATGTAAATAGTTAATCAAGTCATAGTTTCAATTGTTCAACATACATTTGAAGCATTGATTAACGTATTAAACGAAGGTATTTGCATCAGACTTGAAGTGTTTTAAAGGTAGGTAATTTCTCAACTCGTTTCTTATGATTCTATTTACTAATTGTATCAATGTCCACTATAATTAGTCACCAGTTTCAAGATTTACTTTAAAGAATTCCATCGCACCATTTTGTTTACCACCAATTGTATATTCCAAGTTGAGTTCATGAGTCGATTAAAGCTAGACCACCATGAAAACACTGGACGGCCGTTTCGTTCTAGTATGGGACTCCCCAGCAATGCGCATCCACGATCCCGCACGCGGGACTCGGACCCAGGACATTCGGTATTGCGGGCGACCAATCGACTCATGAATTCAATACAATTCAATGCGATATCCACAAAACCCCATTCTGATAATATTCAAAGTTGTTAACAAAACGAATATTTTGTAGAATTCATTAGAGGATCTCTACTGAACTATATATTTCACTTAAAAACACTGAAACCAAAAGGCGAGATTTATTACTTTTACAGAAAAGAAGACGAACGAATAAAATTTCCACATGTTTGGGTATCAGTGGCCCCCTACAAAGTTTGATCGGAGAGAAATCGCATCTCCGAACTAGGTAAATAAAAACAAAACCACAGAGTAAACAATGCCTAGATTAGGAATAGAGCACTAGGTGCGAATGGGAAATCGATTGAAGAGGTAGTGGATCTTCATCAACTGGGGTGGTTGGGACATGTTTTACATATGTACGTATTCTAATATATATATATATACTTTCCGTCCAATCATCTGAAAGTACATTGCAGAATTTGGACGCATAGCTAAAAACCACTGCACACGGATTAGGTGACTATAATGATAATTTCATTTTCATTAAGGACTCTAAGTACCTGAGAGTTTTGTACCATATTTAACACTGTTTGGAGTAACATTTTTTCTCACTCGTCTTCTACCTTCTCACTTGCGACTTGGAGGGTTCTAGCGTTCGAGTGTTCAATTTGTATGCGGTATATCAAGAATCTAAGCTCTAGATATAACAGTTTGAAAAACTAACTCTAAATATAACAACTGAAGACGGGGTCAACTTATCAAAATGTTATTTACTTCTGACCAAATTGAAGTTTTTCTGGAGCGTCAAGAGATACTTTACATGCTGTTGCAAATTCGTATGCTATAAACTCTAATCCATCAAATAAAACTAAATTTAATGAGCATTACAGATGGTTCATTCAAATCCTGTGTCCATCATATCATTCGTTCAATCCACGAATTTCATTTGATGGTTTGTGCGGTGTTACGTCGGAATCCTGGTTCAAGAAATATGAAGATTCATTCACGGTTGAACTGGAAACGCTTGATGATGCTGCAAATGTGAGGATACCACTACGCAAACGTGGACCAACTGGACATGAACGCTACACCAACTTCATGGGTAGTGTCAGCTCTCCCCACATTTGGCGTCGCTGCCAACCAGGAGGGGGAGGGATGCTGTTCTGCGGACGCCGTTGCAGGTTTGGAGCTTAGGTGCCAGTTGGGGCGGTCTGGTATGGAGAGATAACGTCTAGTGGAGTGTTTTGGTTTGGCGGCGTTGGCTGTTGCGGGTGCTTTCAACGGAGAGCAACGGTGGGACGTGAGAATGCCGCACGGACATCGGATGTAGATGTCTCAGCAGGCCGCTGGAGCGCAGGTGTTGAGCGTCCCATGTTCCGCGGGGATGTTGGATGTTGACGACGCTGCAGGTCGACAAAGCTATAGAGGTCAGCGCGCCACAGGCTCGACATTTTGGTGGAGAGCGTGGCACAGACTGCACAGAAGAAGAAAGTGGCACGGCGAACAGAACCACTGCAAGAACGAATGCTCTAAATGGGGACAAGTGTGGTGTGGGCTACTTATATTCACATAAGTAGTGTATAACGGTCGTCAGGCATAGAATGCATTTCAATCGAAGTTCGATAAGGAATGGAACGCAATTAGTATGGAAATGCATGAACAATGAAATCTGAGACAATGCACTGATATTTGCAAAAGGAATGGTCACGTTTGAGACGATGGATTGATATTTTTCAAATTAACTATTTACTATATGGTTCTCAGGTTTTAGTGAGATGCTCTGTAATTTCGCGTCAAATACATTCAATTGCACTCACTGCTGGGAAAGTCCTACTGGCTGTATTCCTGTGGCATTACTGTTGTTTACGAAATTGAGAGGACGAAAAGCGAATGTCCGGCGCTTTAACCAGGTTGGTGGATATGGAGGATCCATCTAGGGGAGTTGGAAAACACTGATTGCAAACCAATGGTTCACATGGGCTAGCTCCAGTATTCTGAAGGAACAAATGGCGTATGAACCATTTATCGATCACCGGCTATCATAAGACTGCATCTTATAACGTCACTCCACTTCCTTGTGAATCAGACTTTTGAGTCAAATTCTCCGGGTGTGGTCCCCTAAAAAGACCACTTGCTTCGGTTCAAGCACCCGGGCAGTATCACAGCCGATGCACTAATCAAGGGACGTGTGTAGCGCATATGTATTCGGTGCACCTTTGTACCAATATTTACGTATTCTGATGAATAAATAGTATTATATCCATAAACGTTATGCTATGCGTTTCTGTTTCCCATTATCACTTAAATGTTCAATGCATTTAATTTAATATACATAACATGATAGTGAAATGCAATATCAATGTATGAAGCTTTGTTGTTCTGCTGATGATAATTTTCATCTCGGATAAAAATCACATGTATAATCAACGAAATTGATCGAGCGTTGAAAAGTATGTATCGCGACAACAAACGACTCTTCCTCCTCGTCGGAACGTTTACTGATAAACATGCTGGTCCCACAGTAAACACGATATCATCTAGCCACTGTTTCAACAAACTATAGCCCTAAATTTATATATATATATATATATATATATATATATATATATATATATATATATATATATATATATATATATGGTTGAATCTTATTAATTTATTTGACTCCTAATTCTCTGTAATTGCTCACATTTGTGCTCGGATTCGCTTTGCTGTACACTTGTGGCGTAGTGATCTGGGCTGCACAGTAATTAACTGTAGTTGACGTTTCGTATTACATTCTGAAGTTTATACACCATTGGGAGTTTTCTGATAGCGGTTATCAGGACGAGTGGTATGCGAAGCCTTAAGAAGGTAACTTACTACACGTATATAAATAAATCGTTCATATCTGTTTCGTTGCCATTGTTCGTAAAGGCTTTGTAGAGAAATTTATATGTCGGCCCAAACGTCCAATTGCTTGTTCGGCATTGTCTTCTGAACAGGGACAGTGGATGATAATTCGTGAACATTTTATACATGTATAATACTAGAAGAGTTTTCGCACTTCAATTCGTCTTGCTAAGGAGCTGAAATCACCAAATTAATTTTATTTTTGTTAGATTTTGCAACATTTATCAGGAGAAATGTCTACTTGCTGTCTGCTTTGTTAACTTTGGGGTCTTTTTCAAAACTGTCGGTTTATATTTAAGTTCCACTGTATATTTTCATTAATTTACGAATATTTCAACTGAATTGAAAGTAAATGAATGTGGGTAATCCTTCCAAAGTACTTTGCAAATATCTGCCGAGCATAATTTTGAAATAAGTTAGAATTTATGTTGCAAAAAGGTTTGTCCTATAATTTCGAATGGTTGACATTATTTGACTGTTCTATTACTTGGACATTTCAGACATTTCAAAGAAAACTCTCATAAAAATTACAAACCTTGGCAGAAATATGCAACACTTGAGATGGATTAAATTGAACGATCCTATCTTGATGAACGAGTGTAAATCTTATTTAGAATTAATTCAATGCAGTCATCTATCATATAATTGTATGACAGTCGAATTATCTGTGAATGAAACTAGTAAGTCGCATTGAGAACATTATTAAAAACTTTTTTCCCTTTTTTATTAGTTGAAAATTATTTATCCCATCAAACAACTTTATAGGACTTCATGCAGCTATCTTTAACCAGTTTATGTCGAAACATTGTAGGCACGAAATCCAATCGTCTGAACTAGAGACATATTGCTGTTTAAGAAAATCTGATAAGCTCTAGAGACTAAAGGGGATTGGCATTTGTTCCCATTCAGTAGTTAGTCAATATAAAAAACCTATAATTTTGCCGAAGTCTATGAGATAAACATTGATTACTAATTGCTTAATAATTAGAAAAGGGTTATTATTCGATTGTTTGTTTAATTTTATTTATAGAATGATTTTGTTTATCTCACCTTTATTAAATATCACCTTTGTACATTGATTTCATTTACATTTTTCCTGAATATGTATAAATATATCTACTGAGAATAGCTCTTTGCTACAGCATTGTTCTTTTAAAAGAGAGCAATTTATCCACCACATCTCCGAGTAAAATATTATGAAATGGTTGAAAACCATTGATTAGACGTTCTGTAACTAGGCTTAGTAAGAGCTAAAATTCCTCATTTTGACGTATCTGCGATCCTAAGGGGTGTAATTCCAAACCATATCATTCAGTGTTGTAGTCAAAGACGTTAATACCAAACTGTTCAGAGTACTTTCTGATCTTCTGTAAGGTCTAGGTAACCGATTTAAAGCTTGTGGATAAAAAAGATTCTTAATAAAAAATCTATCATCTAGTGGAAAATCAATTTCCTGAAAGCATATAATTGTAGGATATCTAATTTATTCCATACTTAAGGTACAAACTAAGAGTTTTTAAAAAAAGTGTAATCATTGTGAAAACACTTGCTAATTCATTTTATATACCTAAATAATTGGTACAAAAATGGCTTGACTTGAGCAATCACTCAAGAAGGACGCAACCTATATTGTTAGTCTTACAAGTTTGATAATTTTGATTATTTAGTTAGTTGTCAAGGCTTCGGTTGAAAGATTATGAATGAATGCCATGCTTGTCGTATGATTTATCATCACCAGTTGATTTCAATGTTCATCACTAGTTAAGAGATTTTGAAATGTGGTTTTCATCTCACACTTCTATTAACCACCACCACCACCCATCTTTTAACCAATATAACTTTGATATCTTCTGGTTTCTAAACACTTGTCATACTGATGAAACATGAAACCGTTAAATGAATTTAGAATTTCCCAATTTCTTAAGCATACATTATTTAGCCGAGTAAATGTGATTTGCTTGAATGACAATAACCTCAATCAATTATATCTAACACTTAGACTTTCAAATGAAATTTCAATACAACTTGATTAGGCTTGCGAATATTTCGAGATTTGTGCGTTTTCCGTATATTTTTATGTATATTTCTTAAATACTATACAATTCAGAAATAATATTAAATTATTCCTTGTTTTAATTTTTTACCGCTTCACACAAAATTTCATCATAAGTATGTCGAAATTCACCACAGTTTTTTAATCTTAATGATTATGAATAACATGCGATAAAAATATAAAATAAATCCTAATTATTGATGAGATCATTGTTAAACATTTTTTTATTTTTTGTCATTTGTCTTTGTTAGCTTTTATATATTACAATCTGAAACCATTGACTACTTATACATATAGTATCAATTTGATTTCTCCTTTTGGTAATATCAATGATATTTACACGAAGTCTACAGCAGAAACACTACCTAATGGTAAGCATGATTTTCGTATTCTTAGAGTTTCCTTTTCAAGTTTTCACTGACAGTATGAGGACATAAAAGAACAATTAAAATAGGCACCATTACCAAGGTTTGACTTGATAATTTCATATAGACTGAGCATTGGGTAGATTTTTTAGAAAAATTGTGTTAATTTTAATTTGGTTATTTATTCTCTGAAGAAGTGGCTTACACTGAGTCACGAGACGTCGGAAAATTTAATTTTTCTACTCATTGGAATAGTATAAGTATATCAATTTAGTTATAGCAATTAAGATAGTTTGCTCGTGTATCCTGGGACCACCGAGTAAGTAACTCAGTTGTTAGCAAACGTGTACTAGGTAAGGATGGCAAATCAATTGGTGAAGTAGTGAAACTTAATCAGTTAAGATGGCTGGGACATGTGTTGCGCATACCCGACCACCGGCTGCCTCGACGTGCTATGTTTTCTGGTGTAGGAGTAGGTTGGAAGAAAGCTAGGGGCGGCCAGACCAAAACATGGCACAAATCCATGAAGTCAGTGACAAGTGGACTGAGCCATGTTGGTAGGTGTAGACTACCTGGTTAGGGACCGCGAGATGATAGCAACCGATGGTTAGAGACCTTGAATGACATGGGTCAAAATCGTTTGCAATGGTGGAGGTGCATCCACTCTCTGTGTTCTCTCAAACTCTAATCTTCTGTATTCTTGATGTCCTTTATTTTCTTTCCAAGTCTATTCCACTGGACTATACTCCTTAAATAACATCATCAAACCTTAATGTTCCCTGTCACTACTTATACTTTCAGTACCTCTACCACTATGGGATTTGAATCGATAACTGAATCTCTGTGCTAATGTGGTATGGCAACTCGAACTGATGTACGTACGTACGAAGTTTAAATAATATGAATTTTGCTGATAGTCAATGAAAATCACACAGTAATTCATTAACCACTTCATTTAGTACTGTTTATATTCAGAAGGTATTTCTTCAAGGAGCCCAAATGAAAATGTTGATGAGTCAACTTCAATCCATAATAATAAAAAGAGAGAAAGACTAACCAGTTGTCCAGTTCTTCTTTAGCTTCAGTTACACCTTGGCAACCACCAGGTGGTGATCTGAAGCTATATCGGCTCCTCTTCTAGTTCTCAAGTCTTCATTGATACAAGTGTGATCGATCTGGTTCTCCGTGGTGTGACCCGGTGAGACCCATGTTGCTTTGTGAGAGAATATTGTACCGCCTACAACCAACTTATTGAATGCACATAGGTTTGCAAATCTCTCACCATTCTCGTTTCGCTCTCCTAGTCCATGTCATCCCATGATATCTTCGTATCCCATGTTTTCCATTCCGACTTTGGCGTTCAGGTCTCCATTCAGGATGGTTAGATCTTTTCCTGGGCACTTCGCTGTGATCGATTGCAGCCTCTCATAGAACTGTTCTTTATTGTCGTCGTTACTATCATTGATTGATGCATAGCATTGGATAACATTCCTTGTGATTCCTTTCTTTTTTGTTTTGAATGATGTTTTGATGATCCCGGATTCTTTAAACATCCATCATATAAGTGCTTTACGTGCCTCTTTGGACAGCATCAGAGCAACTACCTTAGTGTGTGGAGGATTTTGGTTACTATGTAGTGACTGAGTATTGTGTTATATATATATATATATATATATATATATATATATATATATATATATATATAATCGTACAAATCATATAAGAACATCAGGTAATCGATTGATAATATATGTAGTTTTGAATAAGAGAATGTATAAAATGTTTCACTGATAGTTCCTAAAAATAGACCATGTGGAAACTTATTATGACGAAAACAAGTTAAATAATCGATAGATAATATATTTGTAATATCCCAACAAGTAGGAAAATTAGATTTTCTGACGCTTCGTGACTCAGTGTTAGTCACTTCTTCAGAGAATAAATAACCAAATCAAAATTCATCTAAGTGTAAATAGTACAACGGAACAATAAGAATCTCTAGCATACATCTAGCATAAAATTGGATAAGATGTAACTAGCCAGATATTTTGGAATTTATTGTTTTATTCAGAGAATCTAACGTATTAACCAGTATTTTATCTTGTATTAGCTGAAAACAGTAAAATGGACACACTTACCTGAACTAAGGTTTGACAAGACGTAAACTATTATTAGGTTTATTGTAAACCACTAACATAATCCGTATAGTTGTGATAACTTTACTGTATACTACTACTGATTTAAAATGGTTATGAATCATACAACTTCGATAAAGATTTCTGTTGACCAAATACTTTTATATTTAACAATAAATATGTTAGACGAAGAGATACTGTATAACACTTTTATAGAAATCAAAATTAATGACATTGACGTCGCTCTTCCCGCTTTTTGCTGATAATTAAAAACTAGGATGAAAAGAATAAATACTATTTTGCCGTGTTTTATTTGAATTGATTAATAATATTTGCTCAGTCATGTAGTTGGTTCTAAGCAATACCAGCTTCATTACTGTACAACTCATTTATATGTTTTGGTGTAAATATACCAGACGAAAAAACGCGAAATGGTGATATCTAAATACAGACTTTTCAAAATCATGCTTAATTTTTAGTAGAATTAAAACATATCTTCTTTTTCTATTGATTGTTAGGTCCAAATACCCCAGTCAATCTATCTATCAGCCATATATCACCGAACAAACTGACCTTACACTGGCAAAATCCATCACAACATCCAGCCTTTGATGTTCACTGTTTTTGGGTGTACAAACGTGAATCGATCCATCTGATGAGTGGGTTGGACGAGTACAGAATTTGTGATGTTTCGAATGAATTTATTTTGACATCACTGATACCTGGAAGACAATACACTTTGTATATGAGATCTGAGGATTCTGTGTATGGATTATATAGTGATGTTTCTAATGCTATAAGTGCAACAACCTATCCATCACGTAGGTCTTTTTCATACATCATTTTAAATGGTTTTTGTTATATGCGGACGAGAATAAATCAATAATAACCGCTAGTATTTATTTATGGACTAATATTATACGAATATTCTTATTGTGTGACTATTAAGTAACTACATTATATGTATATTCATATTCTTTTCATTATAAACTTTTATATGACCTATTGGTTACTGTTGTATGCTTTACTATTCACAAGTTATTCTCAATCTATTAGTCGCAGTTTCTTATAATCCCAGCCTCTTTTGGTTTGATCTTATAAGAATTTTACTTTTTATTTTATGGTGTGATGTTGTCTGATTTTGCTTGTATATAAACTGTTTGAAGTATATGATTGATATCGCGGAGGCTGAGATTGGCGTTTCGGACTAAACACACAGGGAAAACCACCAATCAGAACTCTAAGCTGCCTGTACTGATGTATGCATCATTAGTTTGGTCGTATAAGTCAGCGTATCTAAATTAGCAATCGTATTTCGCGATAACTAGAAAAATGCCTATTACATGCCGGTCCCTGTGGTTCTTCAGTTGATGCCAAGTTAGTTCTGAAGATCGCTTTCAAAACTTCCACAACGTTGCAGGAAAATCACTTTTCTTGAAAGTAAAGATGAGTCATAAACATTAATGTTATATATTTTATTTTGTAACGTTTTACCAATCAATTCAATGTTTTAATTACAAATTCCACTTTTGACTTACTAAAGTCCATCATTACCTTATATCTAACGACTGGATTATCAAGTGAATATTATTACAAATACTATTTTTGAGTATTATTATTATTATTATTATTATTATTATTATTATTATTATTGTGAATTCGAGCTATTAGCACTTACTGAAACTCCTTACTTTCGATTTCGTTTTTTCCTTTTAATTTCTACAAGAACCAAATGCACCAACCAATTTAACTGTAACCAATATTTTATCTAATCAATTTACTGTTAAATGGACTGAACCAGTACAAGATTCTGCATTTATAATTAAATATTATTTAATATATCATCGTCCTACTTTAAATATAAATGATCTATTCACACAATCTCATATTTTCTCTAATCATTCTAATGAATATACCATCACTTCATTATTACCTGGTATTAACTACACCGTTTATATAAAATCGATCGACTCAATTTATGGTATATACAGTAATGAATCGATCCCAATTACAGTGTACACATTTCCAGCTGGTAAGTTGACTTGCTTTCGAAAACTTTTAATTGTCATACTGAGTAAACTAAAATATCATTCTGAATTGTCTACATTAGGATTTATGATATGAATCTATTTTAACTTGTTTTTAAATTACGAAATGAAATCAGTAAAAAAATTACAGACTAGCATTAACTGTGGCATTAATGAGAAACACAGACCACTGGTTATTTTGTTTTGGCTTGGGACTGCTAAACAATGTGAATTTACCAACCTACAGATTTTCTGATTTCGTAGTGCGTATGATACTTTAAGACGACTTTATAACGATTGAATGGTCCATTTTTTAATCCAGTGCAGAGTTGTGAGTACAAGCTAGAATGGAACAGCTATCTGATGTACTCTGGTTCTCATTAATGCTTCAAGTGACGCCAATCTTCTATCTTTGAATCGAAAATATTTTCGGAAAATGCAGAAATATAGCTATGAAATGATCATTTTTCTTTCGTTTATTTAAGAAAAAATAAAAAAAACTAACCGATCCATCATCTTCTGTGAACAAATATCTTCATTGATTATTGATTTATTATTGATTTTTCCCCTTGCGTTATTATCATAAATATCATTATTTTTGGTAATAGTGCTTTCAATAAGATGATAATATAATAAACCGAATGAGGATATAGCCAATATGAACAATGACCACAAGATACAACATGTGATCAAAATGATAGAAGCTAATAAGTAATACCATACATTTGAAATGAAAAAAAAACATTTATAAGGAAATAGATCAATAGTTAAAGTTTAACTATATAGTACCAAATATTTTTTTATTATAATGAACAATAAACCACGCCACTGATTCTATATCAACGATGGGAATGGTTTTTGTAGCTTAATAGTATTATCAGAGACATTTAAATAATTGTTACAATTAAAGCAATATGAATCTAGTTGCATTACTAATAAATTTTTGATTGGTCATACTTTCGAACATCAAACACAACATGTTGTCAAATGTGTTGATGAAATAACTGATGGAAAGATTAATTAACGTGCCTATACGACATGTACACACTATTATATCTGTTGTCTTATTTGTTTCACTATGTTATATAAAAAATATTGAAGATCATTTAAGTAGCTATATGGTAATAAGATTAAGAAGTAGATTATTAAAAATGGTTTTGATTGTGACAATTGGGTGATCAAGGTCTGATCTCCAGGATACACATAACCTTTCTTACGATTGAGGATAAATTTTGCTTACGAATGCCAAATGTCGTAAAAAGCTGATAAATGTGTCTGTCTGTTTAAAGCATACTTCACCAACATATTTCAATCAATATATTTTACAGTGTAACGACGAATTAACATACTTATAAAGTGATTATTTTATTACTGATATGCAAACGTACTGTCAGACAGTGTACGTCCATGAATTATTTTCGACGTGGTATATCCATATTCCGTGTAAGTACGTAATTGTATACTAACAAAAGAAAAGAAAACAACAATTAAGTATGCATGAGATGAATTGTGTACAAACTATTGATGATAGCCAAGAAGCAAAGAACAATTTATTTCTCTTGATTTAGGACTTCTTAACAAAATTTATTAATAAGTACACAAGAAATTGAACAAAATGCCATCAAATACGTAAGCAAGCGTACAAATAAAAATTATAATTTCTTCAATACAAAGGATTGAATTATCTGGCTACCTATCAAAATTGAATTGTCGCTTATGAAATGTAGTTTAGTTGTGGACATGGTCCTCCTTTGTTGTTTGCCTAGACGAAGAAAGAGTTGACCGATGATGTCAAATAAATTTTAAACTATTACTGAAATCATAAGAAATACTACACATACACGAATTTTTGATATGGACTGTGCTCAAGCCGAAATATCAATACCGAATATCACCTCAAGTTTGAAAATTTAACATAACAACGCCAGAACTTCAAGAACGACTTCTTGTTACAGGGAACATTAATTGTCCACGAGTTCAGATATTATTAAACTTGTTTATAGACAGGACGTGCCAAAGTCTTGATACACACAGGAGTTTCCTTTGCGAAATAACAGTCAATTAAACTGTAACCATAATTCATAATAAAGTTAAACGACTTTACACATGGTGTTAGGAATTATATTTAATAAATTATTCGCTGGACGTTGACTGCTTTTCTTTATATTTGCAGCAATACAGAGAGATAGACCTGTATAGCTGATGGGAATAGGTGCTTATAATATTTTTATCTCCAATGCTTTTGGGTTTCGTAATGCAAGTGTATAATGCAATCCTCTTGCAGTCAACTGTATGTTTACGGGGCTCTTCTTTGGGATCAAATCTCTCGTGTATCAGATTACCTTACATGACAAGCTGGTAATGTATTCTAAAGATACTACACTAGCATGGTCTTAATCATCTTATTTTAAGTTCAACTTGTTCGGGTACTGCTTGGCAATGGAACTTGATAGATAGTCTATCATCCACGTAATACTTAGTACTAATTTTTTTACCATCTCGAAACTGTCAGTGGACGAAATATACTTAGCGTACTTACTGCATATATTTCATTAGTGCCTTCAATTGGAAATTAGAGTTGTTAGATTAACACAAAAAAGATTAGAAGCCATCATCATTTGAATGGTATTCCAAAGTGGTTAATTCTTCAGTATCCAGGACCATGTGGAACTAATTAGAATGGTAAGACTATGAAACCAGAAGCTATGTCTTTCATTACTGAAGATTAGCCAACTACATTTAGATTCACTTGTACGATAATGCATGCAGTTTCCTTGATATATCAAGTTTTTTTTTAAAAATTAATCATTAAGCCTCGTGATTTTACTATATCTCTTGGTCTGGTATATAAATTACCCTACTCTATAGAGGAATGGACTGAATGTTTAAACATCGTTGTTACAAACGTAACCTCCATTCGAAAATGGCTTGCCCTTATTTCAAATGTTTGTTAACACTATCATACATTTGTGTCCTGTGCTAACAATTTACGCTTCCGAATATAGTACTGTGAATAATGCTATTCTTTCCTGTCTCAATAACTAACGTATAACGATTGTTCAGGTTACTAACTTAATTACGCTTACTACCCCACGTGGAGAAGCATAGGCCACCAACTAGCACTCTCCATCCAACCGTGTCCTGGGCAATCCTTTCCACCTCTTTCCAGTTGCTGTTCATCGTTTTCATGTCTGCTTCCAATTCTCGGAGCAGTGTGTTCCTTGGCCCTCCTCTTTTCCGTTTCGCTTCAGGATTCTGAGTTAGCGCTTGCCTCGTAGTGCAATTTGACGATTTTCGCAACACATGGCCTACTCAACACCAGCGTCTTTTCCTAGTTTCTTCTTCATCTGGAAGCCGGTTTGTTCCTTGCCTGAGTAAGTTATTGCTGATTGTGTCTGACCAACGGATCTAGAGTATCATGTGTAAACAGTTCCTTATAAATGTCTATACATTTTTGATGATGGTTGTAGTAGTTCTCTAAGTTTCAGCTCCGTACAACAAAACTGTCTTGACGTTTGTGTTGAAAATTCTGACTCCGTTGTTGGCTGACAATTATTTTGAGTTCCATGTGTTCTTCAATTGCAGGAATGATGAACCCTATTTTCCCAATCAGTGCCATCACATCTGCATCAGATCTTCCGTTCCTATCAATGATGCTGACCAGGAATGTAAGTTTTCACCTCTTCCACGGCTTCTTCATCAAGTATGATTCCGTTGGTACTCGCCGTGCTGTATTTCGGGGTCTCTCATGTTCCCTTGTGTATGTTGACGCCTACTGATGCATAGGCTTCTGCTACGCTGGTTGTCTTGATCTGCATTTGTTCGCGTGAATGGGATAGAAAAGCCAGATCATCTGTAAAGTCGAGATCGTCTAGTTGCATCCAAGCTGTTCATTGTATTCCGTGATTTCTTTCAGATGTAGAGGTCTTCATAATCCCACCAACTATTCGAACAAAAGAGAGAGTAAGTAGTCTTGCCTAACATCGATCTTCACTAGGAATGCATTTATCAGTCGACCTCCACACACGACTTAGCCGTGGGGTCTGTCGTATGAATTCCGGATGATGTTGACTATCTTCTCAAGTACACCATAGTGTCGAACAAGTTTCCATAAGGTTCTCCTATCCACACTGGCAAACGCCTTCTCATAGTCAATGAAGTTGATGTACAGTGACGAGTTCCACTGAATTGATTGTTCGACGATGATCCTTAGTGTCACAATTCGGACTGTGCACGACCAGCCCGTACAGAATCCAACCTGTGGATCTCGAAGTTGGGCGTCTACTGAATCGTTCATCCAGTTCAGTAACACTCTGTTGAAAACTTTTCTTGGTACCGACAGTAGTGTGATGCATCTGTAGTTTTCATATTTTCTCAGATCTCCGTTCTTTTCTTCCTTGATGAGATATTCTTCTTTCCAGTCTATCAGCACTTGTTCCTCCTCCCAAGTCTTTCTGAATAGAATGTGGGGTATCGTTGCAGTTGCTTCTATGTCTGACTTCAGTGCTTCAGCTGGTATGTTGCCAGGTTCTGCTGCTTTACCACTCTCGATTTGTATGATGGTCATCCTGATTCTTTCGAGTGACATTGATAGGAATGTCTGTAGGTGCTGCTTTGATGTCCGGTAGATCAGATGGAGCTAACCTATTCAAGAGTTCCTCAAAGTGTTCCACTGTGTCTTCGAATCTCAGTGATTGTCTTGACTTCTTCGTCTTTGACTAGTCCCTATGGTTTACTATATTTCCCTGCCAGTTTTCTCGTTATATCATGTAGTTGTCTGATATTTCCATCTCTTGAGGCTTTTTCCGCTGTCATTGCCAGGTTTTCCACGTATTTCTGTTTGTCAGCTCCAATTTACTTCTTTACTTGCTTGTTTGCTTCTGCGTATTCAGCGTGGGCCTTGAATTTCTCTGTTCGTGCTCGGCTGTTCTTGGTTGCTCTCTTCTTGAATCTTATCTAGGGTTTCCATAGAGATCTATTCTTTATAATGATCCTACTTGCGACC